ATTATAAGGACAGTTATGATTAATTCCCCAAATGATTCTCCCTTAAAAAAAAGAGGTTTCGCTAATTACGTATGTTAAGTTTAAAAAATTGATAATCAATTAACGAGTTCTCCCCAAATTATGAAACCCTCTCCTCAAAATTCCCCAAATTATTTCCAAATTATTTGATAGGTTAATTAATGATTCACATTAATTACTGCGCCAAGTATACGGCGATCACTGCACTAATGATACGCGAGGAAGAGGCGCGAAAAACTTTTCCATAAGCGAAAATCCTCACGCAGATGGACAGGCTTCTACATGAAAGTTTAATAGCGGTGGCGCCTGAACTAATTCTTCACAGGATTGGACTACGGCAGAGCACCGAGAAGTTGACCACCGAATTAAATAAATTAATCATTTCGACGATGTAAATCGTTTGCAGGTGGCTTACAGATCAATGCTAGCATAAAATTAGCGTTTCATCGACAATAGTTGATTTCTAATGGTTGTTCAAATAACCGGAAGGTAGACCCCTAATTTTGTAAATAAATGAATAAATAAATAAATTATTAGGACTCTGCGAATCGTTTGCATGTGGTTTGCACATCCAGGATAGATAAAAATTACCGTTAGATCCATAATAATGGATTTTTAGTGATTTTTGTAAAATAATTAAAATTTTGATATAGGAAGTTAGCCCTCAACTTGAAAAATTCTTAACATCTACTTACTATGGATTAACCGCTTATTTTTAGCTATCATTGACCTGTAAAACACCTGAAACCAATTTACAGGGTGTTAATATTAATTTATTTAATGACAGAAAACTGGGGTTCGTCTTCGGATGAAAATTTTAATTATTTTCAAAAAATCTGTAAAAATTAATTATTGTCCATCGAATAAACGGTAATCGATCATCGACCTGCAAGCCACCTGTAAACGATTAACCGGGTGCAAATGGCTAATTTCTTTAATTCGGTGGTCCATGCCATACTCCAAACCCGAATTAGTTCAGGCGCCACCGCTACGACACTTTCATTCGGAAACTTATTCACAAGCATGAGTATGTCTCCGGTAGTCTCTGGACAGAAAGAGGAAGAAAGAGAAAGACACACATTATGATATTCGTTGCCAACTTTGACGAACAAATTTAATGTGGAGAGAAAATAAAATTGAGGAAATATGACATTATGACGGTTGCTATGGGAGGATATTTTTATTTAGTGATTCAATCGAAAAAGTAAAAATATCTTCATAAGGCTCACAGTCAACTTATATAATGTGACTAAGGGCCGATTTCGCAAAAAATTCTCGTATTACGTGAAAAAAAATCAAACACATTTTTGGAGTAGTTGTGTCGCGTAGCGTATATTATACGCGACAGCATCGGCATGTGACGTCACACCGGTATCACACCGGTAAAACCTCCACTCGGCCGATACGCAGTCGCGTATCTTGATTAAAAAGACTCTGACAGTAATTTATTTAATTATCCCCTTTACTTTTGTATATATTCACTAAAACCTCATGGTAGAGCTGAGTCACCTTACCTATTCTTATCTTTCCACTTGAGATTTCCTTTCGAATTTACCGTTCTGCTAAATGAAATTTTTTCGATATTCTGACGGTTTTCTCCAAAAAAATTGATTGAAAAATCAAGTAAATAATGAGAGTTTTGGTGTAATCTGTCATGGTGTTGGTTTTATTGATAACATTCATTTTTTCTTCAAGATCATTACGAAGAGTTTGATGAGAAACTGAAACGCCTTGGTAAGCAGAGTTTCGTATTCAGTACAGATAGTGAAGTGTCTCCTAAGGAAAAGATGTTGAACGAGATATTTACAAACCTCAAGTAGTGGAGAGTTGTTGTAAAAACTTGGACAACAGAAATTTGACAGTGTCGTATACCCCAATATTTCTACCATTAAGAACACATTTTCTTCTTTTCGAACTTAATCCCTCATAAAGTACCCCAATATTCATTAAACCAACCCTCAATAAAATATCCCAATTTTAAATCCTTATTTCCTCCAAACATTGCCATAAACGTACCCCACTAAATGAATTTTATTTAGAATATTTTCACCCTCAACAAATCCTTGCAATAAACCCCGAACAGTCCCAATCGTCCTAATCCTCAAGGTCCTAGCCCTAATTGCTGTGCATATAATAAAACAATTTACATTCCTCGGATCCTACCAGACCCTCGGACCCAAACGACCCGCCTGAACTACCAATATCCACCCTCTACCCCTACTCTAACTAGATAACCACGTGACCATCCCTCAATATCCCCACAATATATATATAACCAACTTACTCAAATTTTGTCACTTACAATTTAAACTTAGGCACGACTAGATGCCCTAAAGTATTGTACTCCAGAATAGTAGTGAAATAAAGTTCTTACTTTAATTTGTTGAACCTTAAAAAACGACCAAGTTTATTTGGGTATCCAACAACAGCAGAAAATGTGAACTAAAAACACCACTCTATTCATCATATTGGGAATCGTCGATGTCTGGCGTGAACTCTACTGGCAAACTGACATCAAACCAGCTAATTCTCACTGATTCTAACTTGACGAATTCGTCTGTGGACGATACCTTCCTTACAAATAAACAATCCGAAGATTTCGAAAAATCAGTGTGATCTCTGGAGGGAAGCACGACAAAATTTTCTATACCTCATAATTATATGGTCAAAAACAAAAAGCTCTGAAGCGTGTTTTCAAATGCTATGCCAGTCCTTCAGACACACTTCCACTGCCTAAGTCCCCCGTAGGAAAGCTGAAGAAACCACCACGTATTGATCAGTCGGATTTGGAAAACACCAAAGAATCTGTTAATAAGAAATTGGCATGTACGAATATTGTGGGAGAATCCAATAGTGTGACAGTCAAAATTATTACATCAACTCCACACAAAACAGCAGAGAAACCAGCCATAGTTTCGAGCACATCAAAAAATGAAGCTCGGGGGCAGAACTGAGTCACAATGCTTTCCCGAGCTCTTCTGCCTCCTCGACTCCTAATAATTCCAAAATTTTTCGGAAACGCTCAAAAAATGCTAAGCGGCGAGTACCCGTAAATGATGTCAGGAGTTCACTTGCAGCTGAAAAAAATTCTGAACCTCGCAAATTTTATCTAACATAATTGGTAATCTGAATTCAGTCAGCGGCATGATTGAACCATTGAGATCGTCAGTTTTATCGAAAAAAAATGATAGACTTGGCAGAGAAAATATGTTAGATTGTGAGGGTAACTTGTATTGACTTTTTTCTCATGTTTGTTGCTGGAACTTGTCATTTAAAATGATGGTTTCTATGTCATCAATTTAAATCGAACATTTTCATCAATTGTGTAGTTAATTTGACTTAATGATAATGGTGATTCATATTTTAGACATCAACTCTTTCCGGAGCGTCCGTCATAAAGGGGAGATGTGAAAATCAAAAGTTATCGCCCACAATTATAAAATTTAACTTAAAAATATACTAAAAGTGACTGGCAACAGTCGACCAATAATTTTTTTATGATAATGCCTACATGTAATTTGATTCTTTCTGGCAATTCTGATCCTACAATTTCGAATCCTTCAAGAGAAATTATGAATTAATTCCAAAAATGTTCAACTTAACATTTCAGGTTCTAAACTACTGATAAATGCATAAATTGAAATTAACAACAAAATTATTTCATATCAAAAATCGAATTGTAACATTAATTTATCCATTTCTTAATTTTCTGGTGACCATTAATTAGTTTTCAATTAATTCCAAACTATTGATTGTTATTAAAACTAAAATATGTTACGGAGATTATATTAAATTTTATCCAAATATCTTTAAATATCGCTAAATTGGAAAAAATTAAATCACTGTTCCAATTTTTCATGAAATTGAAGTCCCTGTACCTTGAAAGACATTATGATTAGCGGTTTCCTAGATGTACGCAATATTGACGAAAAGATTGATCGTCTTGAAGGACAAATCGTGGAACTGAAAAATGAAGTTGCATATTTCAGAAATTTTTTCAAGACGAGTCAATTAGTGAAGATACAGAACAGAATGGATTTCACTGCCCTGTGAAACAATGGTAGAATTGCAAGCGTTTGATAAAAAATTGCAAGATGACAAACAGTATAGGAGGAAAATGGTAAATTTTTATGTATAAAATGTTAACGGACTGAATGTGAGCGATAGATTTTCTGGAAGATGGTGAGGAACAACAGGGCTCCTCTAAAACAGGTGAAAAAATGAATAAATATTGTTTGTGGTCATGTTGCGGAAGTTTAAAGGAAAAATATTGAAGAAAATAATTCTTAAAGTTCGCCATACTATCTCAAAAAGGCAAGAAGACTGTAAAGAAGATAAATAAAGTGTTTTTTATCAGTTTAAACCCATTCTTTTTTTTTTCACTGTACAGTCGCTCCATAACCGAATAAGGGCCTTAGGTATTTTGGGGACTAGGGCCCTATATACTGGCCGAATTAGAATCGTATATATTTGCCGAATACTAGGATCCGAATATTAGGGTCAAAAGTTCACCGACTTTAATGTCAAAGTAGGGTTGGTCCCCTAACTTCTACCGCCTTTCTTACAGTTAAATTCTTCTTTGTGTAATAATTCAGTCGTGCTACACCAAGTTCGCTAGCCTTACCCTTCTCTTAGAATTAGTTGCCAAAGGGCCTGGAATTTTTTCACGTCATATTTATGTTTTATTTTAATATTTGGAAAATGTGAAAATATAGATCGTTTCGTTTGATAAAAAACAACCACCCAAGTGATTCACTCCATCCCCTTCCTTTTTTCTTTCATTATTTTCAAGCCCTCCCGCCAATTCTCGGGTTAAGGTCACAATATAAATACTTCATTCTTATAGCTGTTGTCTTTTTTTATTGTCATTCAATTATTATTCTTGACTTAAAACTATCTTCAATGTCGATAGAATAGATGGGTTGGAGAAAAGTGATATTTTCCTAAAAAAATTGATAATAGTAAATTTTTGCGAAACGTACCTGCTTTAGTGCGATCTAGGAAAAATACTTCAGTGCTTCTTTCACCGATATTAATACAGGCATTCGTTTGTTATTACCGCTGCTGATGATAAATTTGAATAGGTGCTTTTGAGGTGAGCGTACGTCCCTCATTCCCTCAATAGTCTCCACGTAGCCAGTAAAATCCCTGAATCCCAGAAATTATTTCAATTTCACAATTTTAAAACACTTGAATTAAATTCATTCAGTATAAAATATCGATGAATTTTCAATCAAAAGTTGTCATTTAACTGTTCATAATTTTTCCATCAAACTAATTATAATAATTTTTAATTATGATGGAATAATTGAGTATGGGGTTGTTAAAAGAATCATCGTGGTAATCATTCATGGTGGTCTCGAGGCTTCACACACTTATGCGTTGAAATTATATTTTTAAGGAAAAATACTTACATGCACGTGTCTCCAGGGTCGAAACCATCACTTTCCGCATCACTCGTCCTCTCAATAATTGAAGATGCCTTTTCTTTAATTAGATTACGAAATAGATCAGGACGTGTATGCTTTGTCAGGTATTTCGCCTTCCGCGGGAGAAGGAACGAAAATACGCAGTTCTCGGCGACCAAAGTCAATTGACAAAATGTTAGGTACGAGCATGTTTTTAATAAAACGGTTAAAAATCCAACTCAAAAAATATTTTCAAGAACAGCTGTTGACCAGTCTATATATCAACGGCGGAGACGACTGAATTCCAAATACTGTCCTAATAACATGCTGAAATGGCTGCGTTATTTGTATCTCAAATACATCCAAATGTTGCGGGGTAATAAATTACTTAATATAACTAAAGTTATCAAAAATGAAGAATATGATTTTGAACCCCGAACTTTCCTTCTATATAAAAGATCACCCTGTTCTCGTTAACAAACAAAATAGATAAATTTAACAAAATCACATATCGATTTTTTTCACTACCAAATTCCCTAACGACATCTCTAATCGTAAAATTATTATGTTATGTCCCAGTTTTTAGTTACTTAGGTTATTGTTAAATATTTCAACATCCAGCATTGTCAACGTGACACTTGCCAACATAACTGGATTATGCTGACCAAGTAATGACACACAAATAATTATGTATTTACGAGGCCGTTTGGGTATGCAGAAGGCAGATCCAAATCGGGCTCCGACATGTGTTAGTCGTAATCTTTGTCGTAATCTGGCTTGCTCCTCTCACAACCTGTAACGGAAGGATTTATTTAAGTTTTTGTGATTGCTACATCTTTGACCACGAAATTGAGACTGATGGGCGAACGATTTCTATGATTTTGTTAAATAAGTAGAGAGTTAGAATTTTGTGTTTATTACGAACGTTTTGGACCGTGGCGATTGATACCATATTGATATTTTGTCGAACTTTGGATGACACTCGCCCGTTGCTTTGTAGAACCATTTTCTCGCAGATCCGATTTTTCAATGAATATTCGATTTTATCGAAAATTTTGGATTCGACTTTTGTTAGTTGACTTCCGTGACTGCCTTTTAGTGTATATTAGAAGTATTTAAGGTTGTTGTCGCGAGAGAGTCAGGCTTAAAATTTACTACGCTCCGGGTTGATCTTCCACTAAGCGGAGAATACGGGTTAGAATATAAACTTTTGCGGGTGTACACTGTATAGTTCCACTCGATTCACGTACACAAGAATCTACTATGCATGGATACATGTATTCACAGCTAATGCTAAATGGTGCCGATCGTGGCAACCGCGCGCAGCGTGTCTCTGTTTTCATGTCTCTCTCTTTCTTACTCAATGTATTTATTTTATTTATGAATCGTCTCTTTGCTTCGTCATTGACAATTCCAAATAGATTCGCGCCGCTCGAGCAAAAAGCGTTGTTGTCGCGTAGCGCGCAACAAACCCATGCGCTCCGCCCACTGGGAGAAATAATGCTACTTTGAAAATTTATTGCTCTACTACGGAAATGACGATCACTTTCTTTTTTTTCAGTATATTGGTGGTCACTATTTCTACGTTCTGTGTTAATTTCATAAAAAAATGTGGAGTGGTTTTTTTTTTAAATAAAACGGTGAAATGCATTTGAATCCATGTTAATTCAAAAAATCATATCTCAGCTCAGAAACTGACGATTGGTTTTTTGTTCTGCTCATTTTGGAGGGAATTTTAAGAGCTATCTATAGCAAAAATTAAAAAAAAAAATCTGTCGAAAAACGGGTTTACACGACAGCAACCTTAAGTATCGTTCCGCTTACGGCTGTAATCTTCACAGCGATTTTTGAATACCTTAGCGGATTATCTCTCTCGAGATCGTTTAGATTTTTCCTCGAAAAATTAGCAGTATATTTTCCGACCTCCTTTAACCGAATATCATCGTATTCATTGTAACGTGGTATTTCTACCAGTTCAAATTACGCGCCACTACGTTCCTCCAGAGGACATCATCGAGGATCTCGAGGAAGCCGGAAGATGTCGTCAGGCGCTATTTAGTTTTGGCAGTGACTGGATTTTGATGTGGCCCACATGGAGCCATAATCCAGCCATCAATTACTACGGAAGTGACGTGTCAAGTGAGCACGAGGCCGATTGGCAATTAATGAAAATAGCATTAAAATTAAGTTATAGAGAGTTACTATTCTCTCCAGGTAGCAAATAACTCAGAATTACTGTTTGAACGTTGGGGAAGCGCTTATAATTGGTTATTGTTAATTTAAGGACAGACAAGGATTGTTAAGCATTGCAAAATTTAATAGCGCATGCGTTTCGATTAGATCATCTCTGTCGCGCATGCCCGTTTAATTGGAATTGGTGGATGATGACGTTGTCATCTCCCCCACTCGTTACCTACCTGTCGCCTATTCACGAGCGTTGCGAAAAATCACTTCCCGTTTGGTGGTATTTTGGAGTGGACCTGTGACAGTTTTAGTACTGAGGGACGCTGACTTGCATTGAGGGACGCCATTAGACGTTTTGAAAGATTGTCTGGATTCGAGGAGTTTTAGAATATTCAGAAGACCTTCGGGAGATTGTGGTGAGCGTGGTGGCCGTTCTTTTATTTTTTTTTTGTTAATTAGTGTGTGTGTGGGCATAGATCATAATTTTTTTTATTCGGTGTTACGTACACCCGAGTCCTGTAGGACTGTTAAATTAATTATTTTATCAGGGATCTTTGGTCACTCTAATCAATGGAAGTTTGGTGACTCTCTCTCCCTCACGAATATGTTATTTGAAATATTTTCTTTTATATCAATGATTTTTTTTATATTGAATTCGAAAGTTTCGCGACTTCTGGTTGATAATTTTCGTCGCAATAAAATGAGAAACCTCGCCATTGAAATATATTTAGATTTTATTTAATCTCAAGGTCTCGTGTCTTTGTGAGAATTTGTCTCTAGTTTGTATTTATTTTGTGTATTTTCCGAGTATCCGAGGTCACGTTGACTTATCGATTTTCGCTTTATTGTTTTAAGTCATTAAATTATTCTGACACTTTCATATGAAATACTTCTGATCAAAATTTTGACTTTTCCAACTATCGACAATTGAGTCTCCAGACTCAGTTGTTTTGTGTTTTATAAATTTGACGTAAAATTATTTATTTATTATTTTTTTTTGTGTTTAGACTTCAGAAAACAATTATAATAATTTAACTAAAGGACAGTAACTTGAACAAAAATTATATTATGTGGTCGATATTACTAAGTTGATTTAAGGGAATTTATTACTTTTTTTTTTAATGTATCGAGGCTGATTTTTTTTATTAATTAAAAATAGTTCTCCCCGACAAATTAGTATTTTATTTATTTCTATTTTTCGTCAATCCCAGTTGCATCCCCATTCAGCTTCCGATTATTTTAAATCTTTACGTGTGAACTACTCGAGCGAATGAGGCTGAGAGTGGAGAAGGATTTCGATACAGCGGTCATTCCGTTAAAATGGACCTCGCGCCTAACATTTTGAATTTTGATTTTCTGTTGGGGTTGTTAGTGCCAGAGGGCGGGCTAATGAACAGAGTGTTCCGTGAACCCTTGAAAACGACGTCGAATCATTTAAAAATTGAAACGGTCGAAGATATTATTGTCGATTAGATTCTAATTCTTGACATTCTGTGTCGCATCAAATTCTCGTGGTAATTACGAATTGCTCTACCGCGGTAATTTTGACTCTTTGAAGTTTTAACTAATTATTTCATCTTTTGACTTTAATACTGACTTTACATTAATTTCGCCTTTGACATTTCTATTTGAGTAGTATTGTAATGTTTGACACATCATGGTGAGGGAAATAATATTGTGTCGTGTTTAGTCATCTATTTATTTTGTTTTTGTTATTTAGGTTGTAATTGTATCGAGAATTGAACACCAAATTGGGTAAACCTTCATACAGGGTTTTGATATTGCGGTTATTCGATTCAATGCCGTAGTAATTTTTTAATTAAATTATTAATATTTCACGTCGCAATCTGAATGATAATTTTTTATTAGATTGAACCTAGTCATCTAAAAATAAATTAGGGAGCAGCATCTTTAGGATTTAGTCGCTTTCGCGGTTGATATTGCAAGCTATCGGCAGTTGTTCGTTTTCGTCAGGTAACTTTTTTATATTTTCAGGCGTTTTGGAAGAAAATATTCTGGCGCTCGACTTTCGCAAATTTGTGTGATGTGGAGCTCAGAAGGCTGCGTAAATTTGTCCCTTCTTCCGTGGAGGATAAAAATACGCCACAGTATATTCACTTGGTCGAACAGTGCGACCACCATGGCAGCGCTTAGAAAACCCAGTAACGAAACAATATTGGTCTCGGAAAGCGTGGACGCGCTAGAAACACTGGGAAAATGTAACAGCTTGAATTGAGGATAGGTTTGTCAATCAAGAGCAGTGAAAAATCAGGACGCAAGGAAATCTATGCAAATGAAAAGGCGGATAGACGGACGAAAGAAGGATCACTAGACGATGCTGACGTGAGCTTCCCAGTCGGAGTTCCCTTGGCCATGGGTATGAAGAACATGAAGGAAAAACTTTAATAGGAAGAAACCAGAAGCTGGAGGAACAGAAGGGCATATAAAATGCTCGGCCTAAACAGTCAGAGATCACGATAACTACTATACATGAGCACAGTCAATCTGAAAAGAACAATCAGAATTTCCTATTGCTCATAGAGGATTCACAGCACACTGCACTGGCACAGACATCAGCAGTGATTCTCTATGTAGATTCTGCAGTGCTGAGAGAAAAGATAGTCTTATATCTTTTGTGTTATTGTCCCGCACTAGCACAGTTAAAGTCACGGTGATAGATGGACACATTCCCCTCAGTAGATAGACTATAGCGGTTCTGGATATAGGGATCTGC